GCCATGACACAGCCCCTTGTGGTGAAGTAAAGTAATTCGCAAAATAATTACGTATATTTGCTGCTGATATGGTTCTGTCTGATGGATTTGTTGCAATACCTTTTAATGGACAATCGTAAACAGTGTCAGTAAATTGAATGCCATCTCTGCACCGTACAAAATTATGTAAAATACAACATGTTTTTACTATTATATCAGCAAAATCAAGACTGACGTCAATCGGCCTGTGCAAAATTCGCCATTTGTTACAAAGTATACCAAAAGTGCATTCAACCATGCGTCGTGCCCTAGTGTGGCGATAGTTGTAAATTTTTTTTTACAGTAGACAATGATTTTCTTGAATATGGTCGCAAAATATGCCTCGACAAGCCAAATGCCTCATCAGCGACCAAACAAAATGGCATTTTTTTTCCATTTTCATCATATGGCAAATTACGATCATCTGGTATGCTCAATTGATTTTGCTGCAATCTTTTGCCCATGCCAGAATTCTGAAATACATTGGAGTCGCTTGCTGCTCCATTAGCACTAACATCTATGTATACAAATTTATAATCTGCATCTACCCATGCCATGAGAACAGTAGAAAAGTACTTTTTGTAATTGAAACACTGCGTACCGGTGTTTTCCGGCTGAATTATTCTCACATGTTTGCCATCAATTGCGCCAATTATGTTCGGAAAATTTGTCCGTTGGTAAAACTGATTTGAAATAGTATACCAATCCTCTTCAGACTTTTCAGGCATGTATAGTGTATGTAAATTCCAGATCGTAGAACATGTAGATTTTACAATTTCTCGTGCAGTGGTGGCACCTATCAAATATTCAAATGATATGCTGTAAAAACTGTTGCCGGTTGCAAGATATCTGAAACAAAAGAAAATTAAATACATAATACAAAATTAAAGTTAAAAATACATAAATTAAATAAATGTTGACTGTTTTATACTAGTTAAATATTTATTTTCAGGTAAACTTGTACAAAAACGATGGAAGAATTTAAGGGCTTGTTTTTCACGTGAGCTACGTGAGCAAAAATGTACTAAGTCTGGCCAGGCCGCTACAAAAAGAAGAAAGTACAAACATTTTGACCAACTTTTATTTCTTATCCCAAGCATGGATACCCGAGAAACCTCAGGAAATGCTGATTCTGTAGAGGAAATTGCTTGCGAAGAAGATAGTCAAGATGCCAGTGTGGAAGTACTACAGCGAGAAGAATATTCCCGAAAGAAAAATAAGAATAAAATATGTTACGAAGAAAGGCTTTTAGAGATTTTAAACAACAAAAGAGTTGATGATAACAGGTTTATCGAGACTATGAGAAATAACAAAAGTGACTGTAATGACGATGACAAGGAAAAGCATTTTGCGCTGTCTTTGGTGCCGTTGTTAAAAGCAGTCCCGGAGGAGAAAAAACTAGACGTACAGATCAAAATTTTACAAATTTTCCAGGAAGTTCAGAAACAAAACACTCAGCGCAATAATTATCCCCCATCCACAATTTATACAGGTAGTCCTCAAAATTTCCAAATCAAGCCCAAATATTCTGTTTCTATACCATCGCAAAGTCCCCAAGGCCCACTCCACTTAGCAAGAAACACTCCACTGATTTTATCTCCTTCTCTTACATAATATACTCCATCTTCAAGCCCTCAAAATATGCAAATCAAACCCAAATATTCTGTCTCTCTACCATCGCAAAGTCCCCAAGGCCCACTCTACTTAGCAAGAAACACTCCACTGACTTTATCTCCTTCTCCTACATATATTCCATCTTCAAGCCCTCAAAATATGCAAATCAAACCCAAATATTCTGTCTCTCTACCATCGCAAAGTCCCCAAGGCCCACTCTACTTAGCAAGAAACACTCCACTGACTTTATCTCCTTCTCCTACATATATTCCATCTTCAAGCCCTCAAAATATGCAAATCAAACCCAAATATTCTGTCTCTCTTCCATCGCACATTCCTCAAAATCCGCTCCACTTAGCAAGAAACACTCAACTTGTTTTATCTCCTTCTCCTACTCATACATCTACAAGTTCCCAAAATTTGCTACCCTCTGCACACACTCAACCGAATTCATCTTCACAATCATCGCCTCCTAAGCAAGACCCTAAAAACTCTTCAGCCGCCTCATCGTCATCAATTCAAACCTATATTACAGAGTTTACAGAAGATTCCGAATTGTATGACATCTGCCAGGAGTACAATATCAACCAACATGAAGAATATTTAAAGAATATTACATTTCAATTACTTTTTTGATTTTTGATTATAGTTAAAAACTACTTACTTTAATTTGTATAACATTTTTGTATTTTCATTAAAATAAACAATTTAAAATTACATAATATTCTAATTACTTATATTTACCTCAAAGTAACAGCGAGTCTTTCTTCAGCCGGAACAGACAATCTCATGTTTGTATTTTCGTATGTCAACGCAGGTCCTAAATTGCGAAGTAATTCATCAAAACTTCTAACACTCATTCGAAAATACCCAAAAAATTTCTTTGGATGTTCCCGAAGTTTATGAAACATGGTGTAGAACTTTCCATTTATTAACCTGTCACTCCAAAGGGGGGTGTACCCAGTATTCTTTTCGCTTTTTTTCTCTTTTGAGTTTCCTTATAAGCTCACAGATGACGACCGTCTCTTCGAAATCCATTTCGACAAATGAATGTTTTAAAAAAAAAAAGGGTGCGTGTACTTATGTACGCGCGTAAGAAGTTATACTTCTTTGGCATTATTAAAAATAGTTTTTGATTGCATGCAAATAATTAATTACAATTAAATAATCAAAGACTGGAAAAGGAGTCGTTAAAGTCAATAAAGTTCAGTTTACATTTGAAAAATTAATTAAATAAATATTTATTATTATTCTCTTACATTAAACAAATAAAACACTATTTATCTTTAAAACATTTTTATTGCATTATACTATTTATTTTTAAGTGACTCTAATGTCTTCATCAGAATTTCGGTTTGTAATTTTAAATTAATCATTACTTGGTTGTGCATCTACGAGGCTTCTCCAAAACTACTTGCTTTCTGCAACAAATAAGAGAATATTAATTTAAGCTCTGTCCATGCAAAACTTAAATTTTTTTATAATTCATATTATAAATTTTTTAACACATTTATATTAATATAATTATATAAATGTGTTAATAATATAATTTGTAGCACATGCTACAGACCTGGATAGCAACTTTCTTTTATTCTATTTAGAGATAGAGATAATTTAAATATAATACCGGTGTCTTCCTTGTAGGTTTCTTTGGAGTTGTTTGGGGATTCTTGTTGTTCAGTTCGACATGATTTTCTTTAACCTTTCTTTAATCCTACAAAATAATGAAATTGTTAAGTTATGTTGTCACTGTTGTGCACACCTTTGTTTGGCTTTTTTAGTATTCAAGTTATGTCAAAACTGATTTATTACCTTGTCATTGTTGGCTTTATTTGCTTTTGGGATATCAATTGTTTCCAAAATGATTTTATTTGTAATAACCTGAAATATATAAATAACATCTATTAATTTAAGTATCATGGTGAGTGGTTCGCACTCAGGTATTAAGGTGTATTATACCCACTGTCCATTATAAGTGGGAATGGGCTCACTTCTGGCAGGACAGAGTTTCGGTACTACAAGTGCAACATGGATGTTTTGAGGTATTACAATATCTCTAACTACCCTGTAGGGGAATAAAGTAATGTTGTAAGCATATGCCTATGCTTGAAAGGTTGAACCTTGAACATCACCATACATCATATTTATAATTAACATTCCTACCTCGACACCATCACAATCAAATTCATTGAAATTTACTTCAAACCATTGTGTCTCGAGAAGGTGATGGTGGCTTTGTTCCACCTCCAGTTTTTGATGTTTCACGGCGATAAGATGACAACTCTTTTTTGTATTCAATTTAGTGCACTTCCACTGATTCATCAATTGTTTTTTGTCTCTTGTCCTTATATTTGCTAGATTAAATCTGATGTTTTGATTAAATAATGTGGTCATTTTTTTGAGATGCAGGTACTTATTAAAATGTTTACTTCTCTGTTATATCGCTCCAAGCCTTCATTTTCTCCTTATTAGTATTCGTGCTTAAATCTTTGTTCTCAATTATTGATATATAGGGTCGTAGAATATTTCTAAAAAGTTGCTGTAACAAACGCAATAAACAAAAGCAATGAATAATGGTTCATGTTTCAGTTTTAATCAACAATAATACTCGATAATACATACGGATAGTTAACCTCAATTGTATTGAAGCACTCAGGAAGGTTAGCACAGTTTTTTCACATATATTTTATATTATTTCACAAATATTTTGTATAATGAAAATAACTAGGTATATAATTATTAATTTTAAACAATAATTAAAACTCCTATATTTGTTTAAAAGGTATATGTCATTGTCAGATGTCAATTGTCATGGTCATTCAAAATTCTTGTTAAGCTGCTAAGCTAGAATATGCGTGAAGTTAGCTTCACGCATATTCTATTTCTTTTTACTTGTAGTTTGTCTTATTCCCATCTCGCTCGCGCACGCTATATCACACTGCCAATTTTGTGTCATAGGTGCGCGCGCAATCGTAAAATTTCACTCTCATCAATTTTTCTTAACGCGCCTAAAGAAGTACAACTTCAAAAAACTTGTCACTGTCACCTTTCGTGAGCGCACCTCGCTTTGGAGGCGTGGAGGGATGCTCCGGCTGTCGTACGCATCGGACGTGTTTTTTCGTTGCGCGCATACGGACCCGTGTATTTCGTTTATACTAACTATCGCTACTTTTATACATAAAAGTTTGTCATAGTTGCCAGGAGGTGCTGTCACAATCATCTGATTCCACTCTCGGTGACGTACACTCGCCGCCTATCCCTAAGCCTTCGGGATTCGGGAGAAGCGGTGGAGTGCGCTATGAACCGATAGTTTCGGGTCGTGCGTGACAGCCTCCTAGCTTCATTTTATTTTATTGTGTGTGATTAAAATGAAGCGCATTCCCCAGGCCGGTCAGGAGGAGAAGCAGCCGTCCCGCCCGCAGCGCCCACGCTCCCGTTCAGGTCGAGCGAGGCCCTCTGCGGGTGCCGAGGCCGCCGCCAACCCCGGACCGTCAAGTACTGAGCGAATAACAACGCCCAGCTCGACTACAGCGAAGCACCAGGCTGCGCCAAGCTGTTCCGGCTTTGCGGAGCCAGCTTTGCCTCAGCCGAGTCGCAGCCGTTCTACGGAGAGGCGAAGCCTCACTCCATCTTATAAGACCAAGGAATCATCTTCATCCAGTGAAATTACATTCCAGGCCGTCGGGTCATTAGCGACACATCGCGCCACCGATGACACCATCCACCCGCCCGCCGCACTCCCCGCGTCGGAGACATCGCGGCGCGGCACCGAGTTGCAAGCCGTGCGTGTGACGTCAGCGGGCCACGCCTCCAACGACGCCACTCGCCCGTTCGCCCCGTCCACCGCGTCGGATACATCGCAGCCAACCATTTCCGCGCGCGACCCGTCCGTCGCACTTCACCGCGCACCTACTGACGCGCTATTAAGTGCAAGTTCGACGCGTAATAGTGAAAGTGATATCGAAAATATGAGTGCCGCTAACATAGGCCCGACGCCTAATTACCTCGAGTGCAGTAGTGTGGACGAATTGTTAATCATGCTCGATCGGGATCCGGGTCCTGGCGCCGCATCCTCGCCGCGGACGGCATACGAATCGGATCTGATATTTTTAGCTCAGTCCTTTGCATGCTCGTTCGCGTCGCGGGGAATGCTGCGCGCTATGGCCCGTTATGCCAAGACGCGAGAAGAGGCGCTGCGTAATAGCGGCGCTTTACAATCACCTCTGACAGACGCTGAACAACGGGAGTTGGCGCAGGTCCGCAACGAGTGTCGCCTGCCGGCGCGCACCCCAGCCACCCCCGTGCGCCGCCCTTTTTCAGCCGTGGACCCCGGCTCGGAAGGTGAGTCCGCGGCAAAGCGCCCATGCGCTTCCATTAATACTAAAAGTGCGCCAGGCTTCCCTGGCGACCCTCGGCTGGCGCCAGGTCGTCGCCTTGATATGGGAGGGCCACCGGCACAGCCACCTGGCGCCGTTCCATCGCCCGCCGCCCCGACTGACATTAACATTAACATTGACGCCTCACTACCGGGACCCGCTGCCGCTCCCGTCGCCTCCGCTGACGACGGCGCCGCTTCAGCACCGGACGCACCCACTTATGCAAGGATGGTGACTGCGCCGACGGTCCAGGCGCAGCCCCCTAGAGCTCCCGCGGCCCCCAAGAGATCTGACTATCCACCGATAGTTATCGAGTGCCTCCCCAATTACGTACATCATTTGGGGAGGATCAGTCAGCTGTTGGGGCGGCCAGCCAATGCCAGGGCGTACGGTAAGGGTTACCGTATCACCCCCGAATCCGGCGACGAGTACCGGGTGGTCCAACGTTACCTTTCGGACCTGGAGAAGGAGGATCGCCGGGTCTCCTGGTTTTCGTACTCCCTTCCCGCGGAGCAGGATCTTAAGGTGGCGATTCGGGGGATACCGGTTACAACCGACCCCGAGGAGCTGGCCCAGGCGCTGCGAGACCGCGGGTACGAGCCTGACTATATCCGCCCGATTCGAGCCCGGAAGGGCCGACCCGGCTGCATTTTCCTTGCAGTGATGCGGCGTACCCCAGACATCACCCCTGCCATATATAGCATAACCGAGCTGTTATATATGACGGGGGTCACCATTGAAGCCTGGCGCGGGAAAAAGGGTCCCGCGCAATGCCATCGATGCCAGTCGTTCAGACACTCATCGGTTAATTGCCATCGGCGAATGGCGTGCGTCCGCTGCGCGGGGAGCATCGCGCGGCTGACTGCACCAGACCGAGGGAAGTGCCGGCGACCTGCGCCAACTGCGGGGGGCCTCACCCCGCTTGCCACTCAACTTGCCCGGTGCGCAAGGAGGAGGAGCGGAACCGGCGCGCGGGCACGTTCGCCCGAACGGCGCCGCCTCGCCCCTCGTGCCAACGCCTCAACGAGCAAAGCCGAAACCAACATCCGCCCATGGGCGCGCCGCCTTCGGCCGCCCCTCTGACGTCTGCCGCCGCTCCTACGTTCGACGATGAGGGCTTCGTCACGGTGCGACGCCGCACGAGACGAGGCGGCCGCAGGCGGGGCCCCGCCGCGCCTTCACTTGCCGCGCAGGAGGCGGGCCGCGCTGCCGCACTTCATGCGGTTTCCACGGGCGTCGCCAACCGCGCCGCTGCCGCAGCCGCAGCCCCAGCGCCAGCACCAGCACCAGCACCAGCACCACCTCCGCGCGCGTGCACCAGGTCCCGCGCGCGCCGACCCCAAATGGAGGAGGCACTGGCGGCCATCGCTAACATACTCCAGGCCGTGCAAGCCGGAGACGATCCAGCCCCGCTTTTTAGGAGAGCGGCATCGGCCTTCAAGGCCCCCACCCGAGGTCGCAGCCGCAGATGATGGGGGGCCTTCGGCTCCTACATTGGAACGCGCGCGGCCTCGCGAATAAGGCCACCTACCTAAAACATCTTATGAATTCACAGGACATTGACGTCGCCCTAATTAATGAGACACACCTCTCCGAATCAGCCAGGCTGCGCATCCCGGGGTATGAAATCTACCGCCAGCACCACGTCGACGCCATCGGTCGCGCCTACCGTGGCCTAGCAGTCATGGTCAGGCGCCGCATACCACACCGACTGCTGCCCGACGTGGCGGTCACCGAGTGCTCTGCCCTGGGTGTGGAACTGCAGCTTGCGGGTCGCCCCTCAGGCTTTTTTGCAGTCTACGCCCCGCCCAACGATCGATACGCCTCCGCCGATGTCCGCGCGCTCCTCGCCGCCGCCCACCCGTGCGTCATAGCCGGTGACTGGAATGCGAAGCACCCGGCGTGGAATTCGCGGACTGCGAACTCGCGGGGCAGACGACTGCTCCACGACGCTGAGACACTGGACTTTTTCAGTGTCCGGCCCGGACGTGCCGACCCATTACCCGGACATTACTCACCACCGAGCCGATACGCTGGACATCGTTGTCCACCAGGGAGTGACGTGCCAGATGACCCAGGACGTGATCGTCGACGAGTTCCTGTCCGATCACCTCCCTGTGGTCGTCACCCTGCTGGACACCGATCCTAGTTTAACGCCCATGACACCGCTTCGCCGTAGGTGCATTGACTGGGGGGTTTTCGAGCGAGCCCTCGACGACGCACCTCAGCCGCGTCCGCCCGAGACCCCCGCGTCAATTGACGAGCTTGCTACATCCCTCACTCTAACGTTCCAGAACGCACTACAAGCGGCCACCACGGAGCGCCCTCTGCCGGCGTCGTATCAGCAGTTGCCGCCGCGTTTACTGGCGCTCATTCGCCGCAAACGCGCCCTGCGAAGACGCTGGCAGCAAACCCGCTGTCCGCGCATGCGCGCAGAACTGCGCGCCCTTGCCGAGCGAGTAAAGACCGCGCTCGACGAACATAATAACGAGTCGTGGGAGCGCTGTCTCGACGAGGCCTCCACAGATTGGGTACGGCTGCACCGACTGTGCAGGCGCCTCAATGGCGCAGCCGACCCGATCCGCCCGCTGAGACACCCTGACGGCACGCTGCTCTACGACGCCGAGGGACGCGCCGAGCTGTTCGCAGACCATCTACGGCGGCAGTTCTCCCCTAACCCCGCGGCAGACCCAACACGCGCGTTAGCGGTCGAGAACGCCGTCGTCGAACAGCTGAGCGCCCCTCCGCCGGCTGAAGAAGAGGTGCTGTTCTTTTCGCCGAGCGCAGTCAAGCGGCATGCAGCGCGGCTCAAGCCCAGGAAGGCCCCCGGCCCGGATGGTATTACCAACGCAGCTCTGCGTCACCTGCCCCATCGTGTGGTGGTGACGCTCATGCGTCTATTTAACGCAATCCTCCGGACTGGACACTTCCCCGAGGCTTGGAAAGAAGCCAAAATCATAATGTTGCCCAAGAAGGGCAAAAATATCACGGACCCGGCGAGCTATCGCCCTATTTCATTACTGGCGACGCAATCCAAGCTGTTCGAGGCCATGTTGTTGCCGACTATTAGGCGACACTTCACACCTAGGCCCGAACAGTTTGGGTTCCGCACCGAACACTCAACCACCCTCCAGCTGTCGAGAGTACTGCACGACATCGCCGTCGCCCAAAACAAGAAGGAGGCGGTCGCTGCAGTATTCCTAGACATGGAAAAAGCGTTCGACCGAGTCTGGCACGCGGGTCTGCTGCATAGGCTCCTCGACTCCGACATCCCGCGGCGCGTGGTGGCGATCATCAGCTCCTTCCTCTCCGACCGGCGCTTCCACGTCTCCGTCGGGGGGGTGAAGTCGAGCTGCCGGCCGATCGCCGCGGGGGTCCCTCAAGGCAGCTGCCTATCTCCCATACTGTATTCTATTTATTCGGATGACGTTCCAGTTGCTGCGGGGTGCGCGGTGTCGCTGTTTGCGGACGACACCGCCTTCATCGCCTCCTCTCTCAACGCGCGCCACGCAGCCACTAAACTGCAGAGGTCGCTGGACGCCCTTCCAGCCTGGCTGGCAGAGCGGCGCCTCACCGCAAACGCCGCCAAGACTCAAGCCATCGTCTTCGGCTGGGGGCGTCTCCCGCCGCCGCTGCAATTCCAAGGGGTCGAGGTCCAGTGGCGCTCCCAAGCGACCTACTTGGGCATTACCCTGGACAGAGGCCTAACGATGCGCCCGCACATCGCTGCAGCCGCAGGCCGCGCAAAGGCGGTCGCCTCCAAACTGCGCCCTGTATTGCAGTCCGCACTTCCGCTAAGGCGTAAATTAGCACTGTACAAACTATACATTAGACCTCATCTCACGTACGCGGCGCCCGCGTGGTACGCTCTCGCGGCCGAGACGCATCGGCGTCGGTTGCGCGCCGTGCAGAGCACCACCCTGCGGCGCATCGTCGGCGCGCCGCGTTACGTGAGAAACTCCACGATCCAGCGAGATTTAAAAATAACAACCATAGACGATTTCATCGGCGAGCTGGCGAGGCGCATGTTCGAGCGTGCGGACGCCTCAGGCCACCAGCACCTCCAGCGCCTCGCCCCGCTCCACACGAGACCGCCAGAACACCGCCGAGCCTACCCGCGCGAACTCGTTCGCGCGGAACGAGACGAGCCTCACTCACAATAACGAATTTAAAGACGAAAGGACTGGACCCCGCCCGTTGGCGCCTCGGAGCGCGCTGAGGATTCAGCCGCAGGTCTGCCTCGCTGGGCCTCCCTCGGGTTACCGAGGGTCTCACCCGGTGTGGTATGACCGCGCCCACGCGCACCCGTTGTCGCCACGGGGGGGCGCCACCAGACCCACCGTACAAACATACAAAGCGCTGCGAGAGCGAAGACGCTCCGCAGCGCAAGTGAAGCTCAGGGCCGCTCCAGGCCCGCCACAGCGACCGCCCCGCCGTTGAGCGGGGCGCGGAAAGGATACCCCCCGCAAGCCCATGGGCGTAACGGGGTACCCAGCGCCACCCTAGGGTGATTGCGCGGAAGAAGGCATCATGTTTTTTTTTTTTGGAGGCGTGACGTGACAGCGACAAAAACTTTTTTGTCATGCTGACAAAAGTCACCGGTGCGCGCTAGCCCTTAAACTATTCAAGGGAAACGGTAGGAGAACACCAGTCATGGCGACCACCATGCTTTTTTGGTGGTTATGCCATTAAATTGTAGCTTATGTGAAACGTTGGTACTTTCACAGCGCCATCTGTTAGAATTGTGACTATCAAATAATAAACAAATATTTTGCAATAAAATGATATGGCGGGTATAAATTGAGATGTAAGCTATCCTATATTTTAATTTGGACCAAACTACTCATAGTGTGCAAATTTGATTGATATCGGTTCGGTAGTTTAGGAGTCCATAGCGGACAAACAACGTGACACGTAATTTATATATATTAAGATTAAAGCAATTTTTTTTTAAATATGATGATATATCGCTGCCTGTGAACAAATGGCCGCAAATTAGGGTTGCGAGCTGTTAAACACTAGAGGTAGGTATTCTAGATAAAGTGAACGAGAGTTAAGGCTACCACTGACGATACGTCCATTAATCCGAATGGAGTAGTCGTCCAAAATCGTCCCATGAATGGTAAAAAAGTATTCCATTTGGATGGACGTCAGGCAGCTCTGGATTTCCAAACGGATTGAAATCCATGCGTCAAGGCCAAATGGACGTCATCCGCGGCCGTCCGTCAATGTCAGAAACGTGCGCCACGCCATATGGAAGCAGTCCAAATTGTCCGCGAATGGGCGAAACGGCGTCCATTTTGTTGAGGTTATTGTTTCAGTTTATGTTTTGATGTCGATGGTGGTGCATGTGCTGTGTATTTGCCAAGCGTTATAATTTTTTTTTTTATTATGTCTTTGTCCACGCGTGACTTTGTGTTGCAAGTAATACAAAAATATAAATCATATCCATGTTTATGGCAAGTAAAACATCCTGATTATCACAACAGAGAAAAGAGAAATGCAGCGATGAATGCTTTGTTGGAATTGTTTAAAACAAAGGATCCACAAGCCAACCTAGATACGGTTAAGAAAAAGATTACCACTTTAAGAAATTGTTTTAAAAAGGAATTAAATAAGGTATGTGTTGTAAATTTATAGAAAACTAGCTGGCCAGGCGAACATCGTACCGTCTAACAGTCGATTCTTGATTTTTTTTTATTACTTATTCTGCTATTCGGGACACCGGTCTAGTTAAGATAAAAAAAATAAAGTTGATAATACAACAAATACATTATGTCAAAAAATAAAAATTTACCTTCCCGGAACACCTCCACTAACACTTGAAGTTTATGATATGGTATTAAAGTTCAAATTGCCTTTAAATATTATTACGAATATTTTTTATGGGAATATAGAAAAGTGTTGTTTTTAGACTTTTTTCATTCAATTTTGTTTAATTTTTCTCTCCGTAAGAACCATTCTCGTGCTTCAAGGAATAAGATAAAAAAAGAATCAGACAAATCGGTCAAGCCGTTTTCATGTTATGTCGTGAGAACGGAAAACGGGTTTCATTTTTATATATATAGATTATTCGTTTCGGTAGCTATTTGTAATATGTGTAGACAAATAAAATAACACAATATAATAGAATATTTATTTCAAGTCTTCGATCATTAATATAGGTACATTAAAATTAGGAGTTTGTAAACATGGTTAACAAATTGCTTAATTACTTATTTATTATATTTGAACCGACTTTATATTGTGTTTAGGTTAAGGCATCACAAAGATCTGGAACAGCAGAAATTCATGTCCCTAAGTTGTGGTACTACAGTGAAATGTTCTTCTTAGCAGATGTGGATGTACCAAGGGTCTCAAGATCAGTGAATTCCATCCTCGATGACATGCCATTTGAAGATAGTGCTGAGGTACATGCAAACGTTATACTATTTTATCATCTTGCCAATTGACACTACCTTCCCCATTAAAATATTGCACAAAGGCTTCCCTAACATTTTTTGCAATACTGCTGGCATTCCTATTTGTAATCTATATATATAAAAGAAAGTTGTGTTAGTTACACCATGCATGACTCAAGAACGGCAGAACAGATTTGGCTGAAAATTGGTAAGGAGGTAGCTTAGAACCAGGAGACGGTTTGCTTAATGATACATTGCTGAAGATTTCTCGGAGCAATTGCTGTGTAATGGTCAAGTACCTGTCGATGAATCAAGCGGATTAATATAATTTCCAAATAATTTCTGTAATTTTGTCTCATCAAAAGACGAACTTATCAACAATGTATTTCCAAACATTATTTCTAACTACAATAATAATGAATGATTAATGTAGGTATTTAATTTTTTTTTGTATTTTTTCCAATAAAAAAAAAACAATCTGCTTATTTATTGCCATTAAGGCGGAACAAAGTTCGCCGGGCCAGCTTGTATTTAAAGAATATAACCAATCCTTCATCCACCTTCTCTTAGGTTTTTTTGTCTTTTTAATAAAATACACAAAACTGCTGCCACCAGTAAAGTATTGTTATCCATAGTATTATTTATTTCCGTTCCGTACGATTGCAAAGTTCGAAGTGACGCCATGCATACAAATGGAAGTATTATGAATGGTACCGTATCTCGATAAATTTCCATTTGGAGTGCATCCAAAAGGAAGTCTACTAAATGGACGTATCGTCAGTGGTAACCTTGAGCGCGTAACGCCACTTGTTAAAAGATATTACGCATATCATATTTGAAAAAATATAAGTTTTTATTACAGTTCAAATACTCGCACAGCTGACACAGGCCATCCTCTTAACAAGTGGCGTTGCGTGCTAACTCTCTTTCACTTTATCTCGAAAACCGAGTGTTTAACAGCTTGCAGCCCTAATTTGCGGCCGGATTTCGTACTAACTGGTTTGATTATTAGACAAATTATAACAATTGAAAGTATGAAGCACATAAAATATGCAAATGTTAGGTTGCCTATTCTTTTCCGGTCACAACTCTCGCGTAGCCAGGTATAAACATTGTAATCGATACTAGCATTTTGCACGTGTGAAATATTGCTGCGAGTCAATATGTGCGACTGAGAGGTCCCAACCAAAAATCCCATGTGATAGAAGAGGATACAGCATAGCAGCTGTTTAAAGTCCGCCCATTTAAAGAAAGAGAGTGCGCATGCTATTTGTTCTTGAAAATGAAAAGGATAGCGATAGATTCGAATATAGTGTGTATTATTTTGGAGTAGATTCAAGATGGTCGCTATAGTTACAATTGAAAATTGTGCTGCGATTTATTGTTTAAAAAATGGCAAAAAAGTGTTTTTTGTGTAATACGGGCGATCGTGTAATTGATTTTAATGATGACACTTTTAGAAACTGTGAATTAAAGTTAGCTTTTCGTAAAAGAAAAAACTTTAAATACAATGTTGTTGAGCTACCCAGTACGTCACTTAAATTCGTAGGTTATCATACCGCTTGTTACAAAAAAGTGACCGTTATGAAAGAAAAACAAAGGGAAGAATTTGATAATTTTTGTGCTGAATATACTGATACAGTAAGTACATATTAATTGAACCGGCTAAACTTTCCAATATGCAACATCGATTTGAATGTCCATATTTTTTTTGTAGATATTTCTCACTAAAAGAAAGCGTTTTGCAAAGTTTTAGGTTGCGGAAACTTACGGTTCATGAGATACATTTATTTTTACTTTTCATACAAATAGTCAAATTACACGCAATTACAAAATAAATTTGACAAATAATTGATGTCAAATGTCAGTCACTTCACGTTTCAATTACCCGTTTTTTTTTATTTTTTGGAGTTTATGGCCTGGTATCTAGACCTTTAGGCCAAACAATTACCAGTTTATACCTGGCTACTAGAGATTTATGACCAGAAAAGAATAGGCAACCAACGTTTGCATATTCTATGAATTTGTCTAATAATCAAACCGGTGAAACGTTAATATATATTTTTTAATTATTAAATAATCATATCATGGACTAAAATTTGTTACACAACCCATATGCAATAAATTTATTGACATATAAAATTAAATATGTTTCATCAAATAAATATCTCCGTAAAGGTCATTTTATATCGGGATCCTACACACACACACCTACCCACCTACACTACTACTTTCTCGAAAAGCACTCAATTCTAGTGGGTGAATATATTGCCGAAATATGGGATTTTCATTCGTATAGCATTTTCGAAATTGAGTTGGCAAGACTGATTCTATTACCAAATATATAAAAAAGTGTTCAGTGTCATATTGAATTCCAAAATTGAAATGTCACTGTCAACCTATATGACTTTTTAACTATACTAATTATATCTAGAAATCTGTGCAAGTATTTACTATTTTGAAAACAGTGTAACAAATTAGTCTTTAAAAATGTATAAGGTCGGTGTCGTCTAATTTTTCTGTTACGGACTGGTTTTCTTAATAACGTTAATTAGGTTTTTTTTTTTAGAAATTTAGGGTAACACAAGAGCAAAGAAAAGTAATGCTAGAATTTATGATGGAGCACCCGGACATTTCACAAGGTCGGGTTCCAGATGCTGAAAGTGCGCGAAAGAAAGACGAAATAATAAAAGAGCTGGCCCGCCGTCTGAATGCATTGGAGTCTGGTACAACCAAAACACCAGAAAAATGGTGGAAAGTATGTTGTAACTTTGTTATGGTATTGAAAAAGTATATATTATACTTAACCAATTTGTAATTGTCTAACCTTTCCTGTTAAAGTGCTGGCTGGACTGGCGTTCAGACACCAAAGCCAAAGCACTCCGAATGAAAAAATACTTGGAGGGAACTGGTGGTACACATATCCCTGCGCCACTATCAAAATTAGAAGAGATTCTTCTAGAATTTTCCGGAGTAGATCCACTTATGGTAAATTCACCAACATTTCACATACAGACTTCATTATTTCATCAAAATTTTAGCAAATTATATTTCTTATTTATATATTCTCAGGGAACCAGACAAGACACAGATTATGCTTCTGATTGTGCCTCAGAGTCACTAATGGATTTTAAGCCTATTGAAATTTTCAACACTTTAGAAGAGTGTTGCAACAGTAAAAGTATGTTAATCTTTATATTTTGATTCTGATAACAAAAAACTAGTTGTTAAAATTTGAGAAAAATCATTATTATATTAATTAAATACTAATTATTTATACCCACTTTCTTGCATACAAGGTAACTAATAGGATTGCATAAAATTGGGGATCAAAGATACTGACGGACTCATAAACTGCATCAAACTTCAGGATTACATACTTTGAAATGATTTTTTTAATAAGTATGCAAACTTTTTAGATTAAATTATATAAATATGGAGAGACTCGCCTTTTATTTGTATAATTATAATTTTTAATCCCATTTAGCATCTTTGGGACAATTTAAAAAGAGCTTTATATGCGAGAAATCCTGTGCCTACGACAGTGGCACAACTAAGAACAGCACTTTCAGAAGAATGGGACAAGATTCTAGAAGATGTTTTAATAACCCTAATCAAATCTATGCGGAACAGATTAGAATCCAAAATAAGGGCACGTGGAGGTAATACACCATATTAAAACATAAAAAACTCTTGCATAAAGCTTGTGTCTATTGTTAAAACCAATTTTTAATTAAACCAATTTTCTTTAAATTTCTGTTTTTTTTTTTCAAAAAAGTTTTAAGGTCTTTTCCAGTACACAAACTTAAACTTAAGGATATGCCTACGCTGTTTTAAACTTAACGAACCAATCTAGACGTTTCAATTTAAATCTGTGTAGAAAGTTTGCATACTTGGTTAAAATATTTATTTCAAAGTCGTTTTTTACTTTGATGCAGTTTGAGTCCGTCAGTGTACTTCCGTTTATAGTCTCCACCTTAGCTTTAATAGTCCAATTATTGAGTTGGGGTGACAATACTACCCAATATTAAAAAGCAAAGGCTGAAACAAACTTAAAATTTAAAACTGAATTGGAATTTAGTAATGTGACAGTATTATAAAAAAATTACAATGCCTTTGCAACTCGCCTAGCTATAATATATATATATATAATTATAGTTTGAAGTAGTATTGTCTGCGTCTTATGTATGTCAATTGTCAATTGTGTCAATAAGCTTCCTAAGCCTGTCTGGTGTCTATGGTACAATATCCATTATCCATATTTTGTTAGTGTTTGACGATATTCTTGCGACAAACGCAGACTAGCCTTTTTTCGTTATTTTGTGTACGGTAATTTAGAAATAAAGCAAACAAAAGCTTCTTTTTATGGTCGTATCAAACTTTTAGATAAAATTCAAGTGCTTTGTCGATGTTAGTTCCGCGCCGCGCCGTGAATAGTGAAAACCGATTTGAATATTATTGCAGTATATACCGTATCGTATCGTATTATTCTTATATCGATAATTGAAGTCATACCAAGTTTGGGGCAACAAAAATAGCTGAATATAAATAAATCAATAAAATAACAGTTATCTGTAGTGTTTCTATAACATGTGCTTCCAATTTTCAATGCAAAACTTTTTATAGAGTTTTATGTCGGCTAGTAGATTTATAAACAACTAATATTATATACATTTTTAATTCATTATGGCTTATTTATCAGTATTTCGTTTTCATAGAAACTACTCATACAGCATATAAGTTGGTTCCAGATATAACATAAATTATTTTAATTGCTTAAAATATAAATAAAAACTGTTAACAGTGACATACTTATACTTAACTTACTTATGAATATACCTATACTGTAATTAATATAACAATACTACTAATGACTAATGATTAAATTTAAATTCACCCCAGATAGTAATTTAAATAACAATGAAAATTCAGATATAGAAACTTGTTATTGCGCAAAAATGGAAAGTATCAACACAAATGACTGAAATAAAGAGTATTTTTTATGTATCAATAGAGAATATATTATCTTCTTCAAAAAACCAAGTGAAGATCAAAGAACCAACTAAAGGAATATTTAAAAACATTGTCTACATATAAACAATTTAGATTTTAATAATTAATTATAGTTGCACAGTTTTAATTATATCTTATCAACTTCTTGTGATATTTCATATATATTTGTAAAAGCCGATAATAAACCATAAAGGAATATGATTTTAATTATGCTCAGCAGGGTAATTGAAATTGGTTTATTACAATTATTTTATTTCAAAACAATATTTTAACATAAAATTAAATTTTAAACATATTGTCCTTATTGAAACTTTGTGAGGCTAACAGTCAACTTACACCATTGACAAAGCTTTCAATTAATTAAATGTAACATAAAAAATATCTTTATCAAATTAAATTTGGTTTATAGTTGCAAAACACGTAAAACCTTAAATTTCATGGACCATTGAGTATGACCATGTCAATAGTCATGTAATAAATAAACAATAGATATGCCAATGACATGACAATGTTTAAGGCTCATTAATAATTCTCTGTACCAATCACAGAGTTATAATTAGTTTCCAAATAACTCGGGAACAAAAAAATTATAAGCTCACCAGTTTATTATGTGCAGAGTTAAATGGTTAGGGATAGATAGTAAATGACTATATTTAACTTTGACCCCATTCAATGTACATATCTGTTATTGGTGATGAAATTATAATTTTGGGGAATTAAAATTATATTTATATACCTACCCTATATTTTGTTGCATTCATATTTTCTCTTTAAATATAACCTTGACACGAAGAAACCTCTTAATTTTTTTTATTTATCATGTTATAACAGAATGTAATTGTTATAAACTCATAAAAATAATTAACATGCGGCTATTACAAATTATTACAGCTAATTGAAATCATAACATTTTTATATCTAAAATATTTAGGACTGGTTTCCTAAATAAAATTAAGAAAAATAAAAGATTTATATTGTATTTATATTTTTCACTGATGACTTAAAATAAGTTTCTCTAACATTATTTTATACAATTACTTTCTGTCTCGCTTTGTTTCTCCTTAATGTGAAGAAATTATAATTTTGGGGAATTAAAATTAAATTTATATACCTACCCTATATTTTGTTGCATTCATATTTTCCTTAGACATGAAGAAACCTCTTATTTTTTTTTATTTATCACGTTATAACAAAATTTGTAATTATTATGTTAGCATAGTTATAAACTCATAAAAGTAATTACAGTCGACTCTCGATTACTTGACACTCGTTAATTTGAATCTCTCGATTATTTGAAAAAAAAATCCGGTCCCTTAAAATCACGATAAATTGAATAAAATCAATGATAATTGGTCCCTTCGGTAATTTGAAGTTGAAAAGTTATTATCTTGCTCGCCAACATGCGATAATTTGAAATCCGGTCTTCCCTACTCTATAATTTGAAGCGTTTATCATGCGCATACCTGTCGTTTGCTTACATACATGCACAGACTTGTTTACATAAATGAGGTATGAGTAAGTTCGCGTTCCAGTCTTCTTTGAAACGTTAATGAATCACGTTAATATTCGATTTGTGCTATTAAAATGAATCCAAGAAAGAACAAATGTCTTTCCATAAGTGAAAAAAAGCGTGTGATTCAAGCTGTGGAGGATGGACAATATAAAAAAGATGTTGCTAAACAGTTTGGTATTTTACCGTCGACATTGTCAATGATTTTGAAGAAGAAAGATTACATTACGGGAAGTGCTTTTATTGCGAATAGAAAAAGATCACGCCAGGGAGACTTTCCTCGTCTTGAAGAGTGCTTGATTAAGTGGATTCATCAGTGTAGAGGGCAAAACCTTCCTATCGGTGGTTTGATGTTGAAGGAAAAAGCCAAGTCTATTGCACAGTCTTTTGGAATCGAAGGATTCGCAGCAAGCGAGGGTTGGCTCTCGAATTTTAAAAATCGACATGGCATTACATTTAATAAAATCTGTGGAGAAAGCGACAGCGTGGATCATACCACGAATATAGAAATAATAAGTAAGTAATTAAAAGAATATAGAAATAATAAGTAACAAATTTTGATCAAATTCTTATTTCCTTCAGTCGCCCCTCCCCCTCGTGGTTATTCAAACATTTGTTATTTTGAACTCTTGATCATTTTAAATTTATCTCTGGTCCCTTGAGTTTCAAATTATCGAGAGTCGACTGTAACATATAGGCTATTACAAATTATTGCAGCTAATTGAAATCATAATATTTTTGGAGTTATACTTCTTTAGGCGCGTTATGAAAAATTTATCAGAGTGAAATTTTACGATGCGCGCGCACTTTTACACAAAATTAACAATGAAGTTAGTTCTAGGTGGCATGAAAATCGATAATAACTATGTTCAAGTTGTATTTTCTAGTATTTTTATATTTAGAACACGTGTTTCGTAACAGTACAATTAAACAGTGTGAATAAATAAATATTATTTTAGTGTTCTTATTAAATCAATTTCGGTACGGTATAGTATTTACAAATAATTATTTTATTGATTCATTTTAATATTTATCGTTAATCACTACTGCATTTTAGTTATTTTTTTCCATACGCCAAAGAAGTATAACGTCCAACGCGTGTATACGTAGTTGGTCCCAAAGTTCTGTCACTAGCACATTATTTCTACATTTCGAGCAGGATTTTATAAAAAAATTATTGCATTCTATTTTGGAATGTTTGATTATTGTTTTAAAACAAAAAACAATAACTTTCCGTAATTTTTCACGATGGAGTGGACATTGAAAGTAAACCGAATAGTTGTTATTGCGTTGCACCGCCGTGGACACTCGCCGAGTACCATTTTCAAGTTGCTCAAAAATTTGAATAAAACGCTTAGGTTTGTGTACGGTACTATTGATAGGTACCTTGAAGTCTCCAGTGTTGAGGACAAGAAAAGAACTGGCTGGCCACGCTCCGCAAGAACACCAGCAGTAATCAAAGCTATCAAGGCGCGGATAGTAAGAAATCCTGTCCGAAAACAGAAGTTGATGGATTTGCAGATGGGTGTCAGTAGGAAAACAGTAAAAAAGGTTTTAAATGAAGATCTTGGTCTACGAGCATACAAAAAAAGAGTGGGCACTTACTTAATGCTCGTCTAAAAGCAATAAGGCTTAAGAGATCGCGGGCGTTGTTTAAGCGGTACGCGAAAAACCGACACCGTGATATCCTCTTTACGGACGAAAAATTTTTCGATATTGAAGAGAAGTACAATAAACAGAATTATACAGTGTACGCTAGGAGTTCTGAAGAAGCTGAAAATAAAGTTCCAAGGGTGCAACATGGACATCATCCATCATCAGTAATGGTTTGGTTGGGAGTGTCCTATTACGGGCTAACTGAGGTTAATTTTTTCGAAAAGGGGGTCAAAACCAGTGCTACAGTGTACCAAGAGACGGTTTTGTATCGCCTTGTCAAAGACATGTCCAGCACCCTATTTGCGGGACATCACTTCGTGTTCCAGCAGGACTCTGCGTCTGCATACAAAGCCAAGACCACTAAAGCCTGGTTTGAGCGTTAAAACATCGTCTTAATTAGACATGAGGATTGGCCTTCCTCCAGTCCGGACCTTAATCCTTTGGACCAGAAATTATGACAGGGCTTAGAGAGGAAGGTCTGTGATAAACCTCATGAAAATTTGGAGAATCTGAAGTCATCTTTAAAAAAACCAGTGACTGAAATCGACACGAATATGGTGCGTGCTGCGATAGACGACTGGCCGCGACGCTTAAGGGCCTGTATTAAAAATGAGGGAGGTTATTTCGAATATTTTTATGCTTTTTTTATTCCTTAATTAATGTACTAAGAATTGATATATCACTCATTACAAACTGATCAGTACTTTTGTTTTTATCATTATTTCCATTTATGACAGAACTTTGGGACCGACTACGTATAACACACTCTTTTTTTATATATTTAGGGCTTGTTTCCTAAATAAAATATTTATATTTGATTTTATTTTTCACTGATGACTTTAAATAAGTTTCTCTAACATTATTTTATACAATAACTTTCTGTCTCGCTTCGTTTCTCCTTAATGTGATTGTACTTAGCCTACCTTTTCAGTACATACCAACATGAAATATTTTGCTATACTACCCCAGAGACAGTTCGGTTTTCCGGAATGAAAACTTTTTAGGTTGTTCTGTGAATTTTTCTCTATAAACCTCAGAGTTCATGTCATAAGTTTTTAAATAACAAATAAAAAATAGAGGTTAGTCGTAGAGGGGTGAAAATTAAGGGTTGTATGTATTTTTGTATGCTGTATCATAAAAATAAATAAAAAAAATTATAAAAAAAACATTTTGGGGTGGACACCCGTTATCACTTAGGGGCTTTAAATATATATAGTAGCCGATTCTCAGACTTACTGAATATGCATAATACATTTCATACGAATCGGTCGAGCCGTTTCGGAGGAGTATGGGAACGAACATTGTGACACGAGAATTTTACATATATAGATGTTAGAAAAATTCAATTAGCCATAGTAGTATTTGTTTTATAGTTTGCGGGTAGTGTATTCGAAAATGCAACGAAAAGTACCCAATGTAGTGTGGGATTACTTCGAAATCATAGATTCCGATGAAAAAAGAGCAAGGTGTTATATATGTTGTGAGATATATAGCTTTAGGGGAACAACGGGTAATTTAATGTCTCATTTGCGGAGGAAACACAAGGATATTTTTCTCAGAACAATATCACAGGAGCGAAAGGAGTCATTTCAAGGTTTCTTTACTATTTATGCTTTGTTTGAAATCACGAAACTCCTCTAGAATATTTTAGTGAGCAGTGTTCACTAATGGTCTTTGCTGGTCAGAAATATTATTTAACTAGGAATTGAACCCAGTACAGTGTAAACTCGATGTAACGTACCTCGATTAAAGGACCAACTCTCTAAAGCAGAGTTTCCCAAACTTATTTGTGTCGTAGACCCCTTGCAATGTTTTTCTGTGTTAGGTAGAACCCCTACTTACCTGATATTGATTTCCTGTATATTTATAACTGTAGTGAAGTTTAGTGTTAAAAACTTCAAGTAAAAACACATGTTAATTTATATATTTATTAATTGAATTTAAATTAAAACTATTCAAAATAAAATTTTGTATCAGTAATGTAAAATATACGTACATAGCATTAAATTAACTACAAATAAAATAACGTAAGAAATATGTCAATATAATGTTTATGTTTTGATATTATAAGATAGTATGATGTAAGTAAATAGGTACTATCAGTTTATGTGTTGAGATCCACTATCGTTCATCCCCATTTTCATTTCATGGACCCCCAAATTTTTTTTCGCTGACGTAGAACCCTAGGGGTCGATATAGACCACTTTGGGAATCACGGATCTAAAGCGTTGAAATCATGGCTTTGGTTGATTTTGCTTGTCTATACATTCTACATAGCATTTCACCCACTCTCAATAAAGACTACAATTGACCAATTAAGTACCTTTTTAGTTGCTAAAGTTAGTAAAAACTAGGTTCTTTTGTCGCTTCATTATCCCAGCCCGCAATAAACTCGACTGTCGGTATCATGTATACGCACTTTCTAAGAAATTCTTTCTTTTGTTTACAAATTGGGATTGCTTGCACGTGTAGACTGTTGTTGTCTATGGCTAATAAGTATGAGTCATCGCGTATCTAAACCAGTGTTACCAACTCGAATTTTATCGAGTAGTTAGATACAATTTGAAAAGTTGGTAGTTTCCAACCATCTTCAATTCGAAAAGTAGGTAGATCTACCTACCCAACTATAATTTCGAGTTTTATATAAAATCCTACCCTAAGATGATTATTATGATAATTCATTTTTTTTTCGAAAAAAAGTAATCACTAATAGTATTATAGTAAAAAAATGAATATTAACTAAAAAATGGACAATATTCAAAGCATGTTATGGATTGAAGAAATCAATCTAACATAATCTAATTGACAATGGGGGCCGGAAACTGAAATGCTTAATCCAACCTGCATATTCTGGTTGAGAAAAATCCTAAAAGTTGGTAGATCTACAAGTTGCTAGATTTACCTAAAAAGTTGGTAGATCTACCTAAAAGTTGGTAGAGTTGGTAACACTGATCTAAACGGTACGGTATCATATTCTTAGTTGCTCACAAACTCTCGAACTGTAAACATGTCGAGTAAAAGAAAATCGCTGTGTATTGACGAAAAAGTTTTACTGATACGTGCAATAGAAACGGGAGGGAAGATTAGTGATGTGAGCAAACGCTTTGGATTCAGTACCTCTACCGTGGCCACAATATGGAAAAACAAAGAAAAAATTCTCCAAGCTAAGGTCGAGGGGAAATGTTCGAAAAAAATAAAGAAACCTAAATACGCAGATTTGGATCAAGTTATGCTATCATGGTATCACGAACAGAGCCAGAAGAATATACCTATCTCGGGGCCGCTCATAAAATTAAAGGCAGAGAGTTTAGCAGAAGAACTTGGTTTAACTTCTTTCAAAGCATCTGAAGGATGGCTCGGAAAATTCAAGCAACGTCATCATATCAACTATGGTAAAATAGGTGGGGAAGCTTTGTTTTTCTAATTCTCATTTTTCTTCTCTCGATTAAACGACAACTAATACGTTATATCTAACGAAAAAATGCACAGTCCCTTCAGTGTCGTTATATAGAGTTTACACTGTACCTGTATTTAGGGAGCGTTCAAGTATTACGTAACGAGTTTTGGGGGGGTCCTTTTGTAAAACGTCACGATGCGGGGGTGGGGAATTTAATTACGCGTTATTGTTAATATTATTTTCGACTTACACCACATAATAGTAACTAAAGAGACACAAGGTGGTCACGAAACGTTTTACTATACTTGAGTACAGTACTGTACTAACTGAAAAACGTTACGGCGTTACATGGGGGGGGTGTCAATAATCTCCAAAAATTGCGTTACGTAATACTTGAACGCTCCCTTAGCTGTTATGAAACAAAAATGTTTATATTTCCGAGTACCTTTATATTTAAGGCCTAGTTTTATTTGTTTGTTGTGAATTTTTGCATAATAAATCAATAAATATATATTTTGTTTGATGAAATTTCGCTAACTTTTGTCATTTTGCTCAGCTAAAAATATTTAAATATTTTTATTCCAGGAAGAAAAGGAGAAAGTCGAAGGCCAACTTTGCAGGGTATGTACCTAACTATATGTTTTAATAATTATAATAAATATATTATACTAGCTGGCCTGGCGAACATCGTACCGCCTAACAGTCAATTCTTTATTTTTTTTAAATACTTATTCTGCTATTCGGTACACCGGTCTTATAGCTAGTAAGATAAAAAAAAGAAAGTTGATAAGACAACAAAAACATTATGTCAAAAAATCAAAATTTACCTTCCCGAAACCCCTCCACTAACACTTGAACTTTATGATATGGTATTAAAGTTCAAATTGCCTTTAAATATTATTACGAATATTTTGTATGGGAATATAGAAAAGTGTTGTTTTTAGTCTTTTTCACTCAATTTTTTTTAATTTTTCTCTCCGTAAGAACCATCCTCGTACTTCAAGGAATATTATAAAAAAAGAATTCGCCAAATTGGTCCAGGCGTTGTTGAGTTATGCGCTTACCAACACATTTTGCGATTAATTTTTTATTATAGATTATTGACTTAATAACTCGTAGATATGTTTCTCATGTGATTGAAAGAACAAAACACTTTTAAAAAAATTATTGTATATTAGCGGACCCGACAGACGTTGTCCTGCATGATATTTCAAGCAATTAGGATATTAAACAGTATGATAGTACCGACTGAAGCGCCATCAGTGATCAGCTGGGCTGATTTGTGAATCTAAACCATCCCAGGCGTTACCCAAACTCATACAAAAAAATCATTCAAATCGGTCCAGCCGTTTCAGAGGAGTTCAGTGACATACACACGTTCAGCAGAATTATATATACAGTGTAAAGTCTTTATAACGAATTTCGAGGGACCGAGGGCTTTTTTTTTCGATATACCTAGAGAGTTTTCTATAGGGAGGGAAGAGAAAAAAAACTATTGGTAAATTATTCTAAACACATTCTGTTAACTTTGCCTGTCGTGTTTTGCTATAGCAGGCAATGTAATCTAAGAATAATGGCACACGTGGTAATGGCATAAATTAACAATAACAAAGGCGAGACGGCTGTTTATGACCTCAAGTGTCTTTCTTAGAAATTTCGGCACCACAAAAGGTTAGTTTCGTAAGCTGATTATAATAGCAATTACACTTAAGTATGTTGTTGATGTCTAAATATGAAAATATTTCTTCGTAATAGAGAATTGCTGTTGCGTTATGAGTGAATTAATGGGTTTTGTGTTAAACCAAACAAATTTAACTTTTTACGTTATAACGAATGACTTTATAAAGATATTACACTATATATTAAGATATTATATTCCTACATATTAGCTCATTCAGTTTCTTGTCTCTATTTCTAAAAGTTTTTTGATGTCCGAACCCAATAATTAATCCACAATCCACAGAACGTGACAGTCGATCGATCTCCTATCTGCATCCCTATAACCAAACCCTACGAAGACAATCCATTTTTGGCGACGGATAAAATGCTCTTTGTCGTTCCATTTCACCGAGTTTTCACTAATATTTGATAATCAATGTAAACCAAATAAAGTAAATAAAACCGTACAAATAACATTAAAATATATACGTGTATGTTTAAAACATAACAAACATAATTATTTAAAAAACTGGTGTAAGTTAAAATCTGTTAAAATAATCGGCTTCGGGCATTAGTCTATTACACATTTTATCTTTTTTAAATAAATTTATTGATTATTATTTTATATGTATTTTATCAATATAATAACTCCAATCGAAGCATTTGTTTTAAACGATATTCTTTTTCTTACTTCCAATTTGACGATATTTGCAGCACGCATTATGTCAATGTAATGTCAAACGCCATAAGGTTACATCAAAAAAGTTTAAATTGTTTGGTGGTTAAGTATTCTATTAATTTGCCGCGTCCTTCTCCTAACAAAAAAATCGCGAAATCGGTTCAAGTATTACGTCACGCAATTGTTGGAGATTATTAATCACCCCCCCCATGTAACGCGCCGTAACGTTTTTCTTTACACCCATTGACTTTTAATACCTAAAAGTTACCATTATGTGGTGTAAAGTACTGGAAAGTCGAAAATAATTATTAACAATAACGCGTACTTCAATCCCCGCCTCGCATCGTAACGTTTTACAAAAGGAATGTTTTATTAAATTCAACTAAAAATGTTATTCCCCTAGAATTAATGTCGTACAAAATAAATCAATCAGCATCTTTATATATTGGCTATTCCAAAATGTTATTATAATATTAAATTAGGAAGTATTGTGGAATTAAGTTATTTTGAATCAAACTTTTTATGTCATTGTTTTTTCGTTCCGATAGAAAATTATCGAGCCATTCAAAAAAGATTTAATTGGATGTACCTAAGGGTAATACTGCGTAATCGGGATGAACGACTTTTTTGTGCTCAATTTCTTTAAATTTAAAGCATTACATTATAATAAAACTAAAAAAAACACATTATCAAATATATAATATAAGTAAACTAGCTGACCCGGCAAACGTTGTTTTGCCATGTATATTATTTCTAAGAAACAATTTTTTTAGTTCAATAAAAATAACTTTGTACAATAATAAGAAGTAGGGGTTGATGGTAGAGCGGTGAAAATTAGGGTTTGTTTGTATGCTGTATCATAAAAAAATAAAAACAAATAAAAATTGGGGTGGACACCCCTTATCACTTAGGGGTTTGAAACGTAGATAGTAGCCGATTCTCAGACTTACTGAATATGTATAAGATTATATCTTTTTATATGGAATTGAAAATAAACAATTGTGTTTCTCTGAAAACAAGGATATTTATTTTATTATTAACACACTATACTAATTATAGTATTAATTCTATATTTTGAATTTGATAACTTTTCAATAATTTTAAAAGGACCTATCTTCAATTCATCTAATTTATTTCTATTTAATTTGTTCCCATTCTCTACATATACCATATCCATTCCATTTCTGTTTTATCTCTTTTTAGTTCATTTGGCAATAAAGATACATCTGTACCGTCCAACAGGTATTTTGGTGCAAAACCAGTAACTGTATGTTCTGTATTATTATATTTATCTACACAGTTATGAGCAATGGTCGTCCATGCTATTTTATTACTTTTTTCGTTTATTTTACATCTGATTTTATTTACAAGCGTTTGATTAAGTCTTTCATTCAAACCGTTCGAAAACGGGGCATTTACTGCAGTAAAGATCATTTGTATTGATTTCTCATTTAAAAATGTTTTAAATTCTTTTGAATTGATTCCCGGGTATTGATCAGTTAGAAGCATTCCAATTGAATCACAATCTGTTACAGTATTTATAAGTTTAACAAAATCATTAGCACTTTGTGTCTTTGAAGTAACTATATAAGCATATCGTGTAAAGTGGTCCACTAAAAGGTGTAAATATCTTTTAGTTGATCGCGAGCCTCCAAAACCTCCAATCGTGTCTATTGAGACTATTTCAAACGGTTTTGTAGCAGGACCTAAATGTGACATGAGACCATACTTATCATGTCTTCTTGTTTTATTTTTTATACAGATCTCACAACTTTTACAATATGTTTTAATATTTAATGTTAAATTTCTTGCTGTATATAACATACTGATTTTTTTTTGCATTTGTTTTACACCTAAATGACACATATTTTCATGTACTTAATTAGTTTTTTACTGAAATCTTCCGATAATATAATTTTTTCACGTTGTCTAACCTTTTTATAGTAAACATTGTGTTTTGATATTAATTTGGATTTATTATTTTTTATGTCTTCATTATTTTCCTGATCTGTGACAATATCAATCAACTTTATCATGTTAACAATTTTTAATTGTTCATCTGTATCCTCACTTGCATCTAATACTGGGTTCCTACTTAAACAATCTGCTTCTATATTGTCTTTTCCCGGAGCGTATTTAATTTTAAAATCATACTGTGATAAGTAATATGTTAAATCTCCTAATTCTTCATCTGTCCTAGACTTTATATTTAAATTTTCCAATGGTTTATGGTCTGAATATACTGTAAACGACTTACCTATTAGCCAATATTGCCAGTATCTTATTGCTTCTTTAATAGCTAAACATTCTAAATAAACTGCTTTTTTTTCTTTTGAACTTGATTTAATTTTTTTTGAGAAGTATGCCACTGGCTTATTTTTTTCCATTTGGTTGTGTTTGCTTTAACACTGCCCCAATACCTTCTAAAGATGCATCTGTGTGAATATTAATTGGCAAATTTTGATCAAATATTTCTAAGATTGGCTGTGAGCACAATAAGTTTTTTATGTTTTCAAAAGATTTCTGACAATCTGTAGACCAAATAAATTTCTGGTTTTTCCTAAGTAAATTATGAAGAGGTTCTAAAATTAATGCACTTTTTGGTATATACTCATGGTAGAAGTTTATGTTACTTAGTATCCTTTGGAAAATCGCTGGTGAAGTCTTCAATCCGAAAGGTAAACATGTC